AAAGAGAGAGAGAGAGAGAGAGAGAGAGAGAGAGAGAGAGAGAGAGAGAAAAGGAGAAGGAGGAAAAGGGGAAGATGAAGAGGGAAGAGAGGAGGGGAGAGGAATGGAGGGCAGAGGAGGAGCACAAGGGAATAAATAAATGGAAGAAGAGAATGAGCAGAAAGAAGGGGGAGAGGGAGACAGGAAGACAAGGAGAGTAAGGGAAGGAGAGGGGGTGGTGAAAAGGGGGTGGGGATAGAAAAGAGATGGAGTAAAAGGGGGAGGATAAAGAAAATAGTGGGAATGGAAGCGAGGAAAGGAAAGAGGACAGGAGAAGGAAGAGGTAAGTGGGATCACCTCGGGGTTCTCTGTAGCATTAATATAGGAAGAGCAATGGGGCAAATTCTACAGAATTCAGGCAATAGAACAAGTTATACAGAATATCACTGTGACACCCAGAGAAGAGTCATTTGTGTGTATATGCAACTAAAAACATTCTCAGATATGTTATCTCAGGAAGTATATCACTGCTATAATATATTGCTCAAAGGGCTACTCTAACTGAACAAAAATTCAGCAAAATAAAGATATGAATAATGACTAGATCATGGAATAAAGAAACAGCCAACAAGCATTGAACCAGAATTCAGAGCAAATAATGACTACAAATATGGATGGGATAAAACAAAAGAATAAAAATGCCAAATAAAAATCTCAGAGAAACCATTAAATTTCTTTTAAATAAGAGGAAAAGAAAGGACCATAGTAAACTGGGTCTAAAGTCTTAGAATCTATAACAAAAAACAACGAAGTGGGAAGAGAAAAGGAAATAAAGGTGTTCTAGTATCATCTTTCACGGGAAGAAATACAACCAAATGGTCTCACTCTTGATTCTGAAAGGGAAATAGCTGTGCTACCTAGATATCAAAATCAACCAAAAACAGCACAAAAAATAAAAGCACAAACCAATATTCTAATCAATGAAGATGCAAAAATTCTCAGCCAGAATACCAGCAAATCCAACAATATACGAAAGACTCATAAACCATGACCATATGAGATTCATTCAAGGAATAGAATATTTGAAAAACAATCAATGGTATTTATAAGCTATGGTAATCTATTGTATTTATAAGCTAAAAAAGAAAAATCATATCATCATGTCAAGTAATGTCAAGAAAACATTTGACAAAATTCAATACTCATTCACAATAAACATTCACACCAAGTGATAGCCTACTGATTTAATGCAATTACAACTGTAATTAATACAATTCCTATTATAACCCCCAAAATGGTTTTATAGACATAGACAAGCTTAGTCGGAAATTTATATGTAAAGGTGCAGACCCTAGAATAGTTAAAACAATCTTGACGAAGAAGAATAAAATGGGAGGAACCACTCTGCCCAGTATCCAGGCTGACTCTGTGCTACGGTAATAAAGACAGTGGGCTGTTGGCAAAGGGGTGGGCACACAGACCAATGGGACTCAACAGAAAAGTCAGAAATAGAACCCCACAAATAGGTCCAACTGATTTCTGACAAATTACTAAATAAAGGAAGGATAGCGTTTTTTATACATGGTGCCGATCAAATGAGCATCCATAGACAAAAAAAATAAAGGTTTAAATAGAACTCAACCTAAACATTATACAAAAATCAACTCAAAATAAGTGTAGACTGAAATATAAAACTACAAAACTTTTGAGGAAAAAGAACCCCCAAAACAGGAGGATATCTTCAGGGTCTAGGGCTGGGCAAGTAGTTAAATTCATGCCAAAGCAGGACCCACAAAAGAATAAATTTATAAATTGGACCTCATAAAAATTAAAATTTTTCTCTGTGAAGACCTTTCCAAGTTATTTCATCATGTTCAACTAAGTCTTTTATACCATATTTTTAACATTTTGGTAAAATGAAGAAATATTTTAGTCCCTAGTTTCAATATTTTTATAATTTCATAAATATAAGTTAAATAAGTTTTCTAATCACTAAGATAATTAACATGTTCTTAAAAATAATTTTAAGGTGTTTGAAGTTTTGGAAAATATATTAGACTTTTGGTTTTAATTATTTTAATGGAATGTTTAGAAACTTTTGATTAAATCAGTTTGTAATCAATGTTTAAATGAGAAAAATTTAATTGGTTAATTTTTAATGTTCTGATTAGTCTACGAAGCATTTAAATGTTCAGAGAAATATGAATGCGTTTACACATTTACTTAATTGTGCATAAAGTGAAGCACAACAGGAGCGAAGCTCTTCGTAGGTCTGGGAGCAAGTCGGTCACTGACAGGTGACCCCAGCCCACGCAGACAAGTTTCCACCCTCTCTGTACAGCCTCCCAGCTGACTGGCCACAGCTCTGGAGGGGGATGGTCTTACCTTATGGGGCTGTCCATCCTGGACACTGTGAGGAAGGCAGCGAGGTTGGCCGTGTAGGAGGAGCACACGATGAGGGTGAAGAGCCACCAGCTGCCCATCACGATGCGCATGGCCACGGAGTTCACGGAGGACTCGCCACCTGCGGGAGGGGCGGAGCAAAGGGGATTGGCTGGGGCTGCCGCTCCCACCGGCCCACGGACCTGCTCTGGGCAGGCAGCCTCCACGGTGATGGGCTGGGGACCAGAGAAGTGGCTGCCAGCTTAGCGGGGGCGACTGTGCCAGTCCGGGAAAGACCCTAAGACACCAGTCTGGGGAAGGGATGGAGGACCAGAGGACATGGAAGAGCCAGGATTGGCCTTTTCCTGACGTGGTATCTGTCAAAACACCAAGGATTAAGCCCTACCACCCAACTCTCCCAGTTAGCAGGCTCCGCTCACTGTGAGGACCTGCTGGCGGCCACCTGGCTGAGGGCAGGCCCAGTCCCTTTCAAGGTCACATGGAGCCGCGTCGGGCATTCTACAGACAGGAATTACCTCCTACCCGGGGGGTCCGGGCGTCCTTCCGACCTCAGCATGAGGGCTGCCTGGCACCTTACTCACATGCAGCCCTCACTGCATGGCTCTTCCCGGCTTTCAGAGGGGCTGCCTCTGCGAGCCAGTGCTCTCCGGGCTCCTTCATGGCAGCAGGAAGAGTTCCTGACTGCCTATCCTTACACAACCCCACGAGCACGCTGTGCTATGGTGCAAACTGAGCCAACACTCAGATAAGGGACTTCCCATTCCCTGTTTCTGGTGAAAACTGCACAGTCCTGTCACCCCACAGGCACTGCCCAGACGTCTCGGGCGGGAGACATGCTATGTCCGACGCAGCTGCGTCCCGCGTGGCTGCAGTGCTCTTAGGTCATTGCCAAGCAGTTGTCGTGTTTTCCCACTAAGGCTTCAAACTGAAGCAAGATTCCTTTGGTTTGGCAGCCCCGCGAGCATAGAATCATTCTGGCATGGGAGGGGACAGTGCCAGGCGGAACGCCACAGCCCACTCTGTCTAAAGTGGAGAACCGGGATTTGAACTTTGCCAACAGATAAGTTCTTCCAGGCGATCCCAGCACCAGGAACCCAGGAAGGTACCTTGTTGTACGAAGGCTCCATAGACGATCCAGATGGCACTGTGCAAGGTGGCAGACGCGGATGGCCGAGGCTGGGCAGTAGCCTGAGCCGTCACGGCCTGCATCCGGTTCAACACGAATATCAGCACGCCAACCACAGGGATGGCTGCCGCGATGCAGGCCCAGACCGCAAAGTCAAACGGAGCAAAGAGAGAGAAGATGCTGATCTTCTCCTCGGGCTTCTTGAGTAGGATCCCCACCGAGTAGTCCATGTACCGCTTGCTGAAGTCCACCACACTCTCCCTCTCCGGGGTGATGGTGATGGCAGAGATGGCCACGTCTGCTCTCTGAAAGGCAAAACGTCTCATCAGAGGACGTCGCGGCCGACACTGCTCTGTCCAGAGAAGACGGGACTCTCCAGGTGACACCCTGTGACCTTGCATGTTTTAAGGCAAATCCAGCACTAAGTGGTCTGATCTTACCTCTTTACCTCGTACACTTCTCTCCCAGACCTAACAGCTCCTGGAACCCGCGGCTGGAGACGAGAGGCTGGAAAGCATCTGCCTCCTGTGTGGCGTGTAGTTTTCTCCAGCTCCTCCCTGCTGCCCCAGCAGCTTCCTCCTTTCTCAGGCTGGCCTGTCCCTCGGACCCACACACCATGAAGCCCCTGTGTCTTCCAGCTTGTCTGGGTCCTCCCTAGACTGGGAGCACAGACCCACCACTTTCCTGTCAAGCCTCCCGGGCCCCCAGCCTGCCACACCCTGACGGCTTTCGTTTCTAAAATATTTTGGAAGTTGTATGGTGAGCTTTGCAACTACCTTGAAGCTCATTAATGTATCAGACCCTGATTGGTTTATATGCAGAGACTATGCCAGAGAGTACCATCCACCAAGAAAAGGGCCCCGCTTCCCTTGTTGTCCCACCTCCCTCTGCCGGGGCCTGCATGCCGGGGCTGCCTCTACGCAGGAACACCGTGCCAGGAGGGAACTCGTGGGCGAGCTGCCCTGTGACCTGAAATGCACCTCTCAGGATTTTTGCTTTCTAAGATGGGCTTCATTTTAAAAAGAATCAAAGACCCCCATTAGGATGGAAGCAGACCGTGAGATAGCGCTGCCGACTGGTGGAGGTTAGGGTCCTTGTGCCTAGAGGGACGCTGGCAGGCAGTCCCAGGCTGGAGTGCCCACCTCAAGCCCCAGGCCACTACGGTGGCCAGTGGTCATCTGGATCTTGGCTCTTGAGCCTTGAAGTCAGAGGCATCCTCAGAATTAGGTTTAGTTTAAAATGACCAATCATAACAACAGATCTAACCTACATATTCAAATTGGGAGAACATGCATAGATTTTATCAGGCTTAGTATGTGGGCTAGAGGGTCAGACATGCTGATGTTCTGAACTGAAACCCAACAACACACCAAGAGCAGGAGAAATACCGGGGTGATGGTATTGGCTCTCCTCCTACACTTTCATGTTTGCATCTCTGGCCTTCGCCTTTGACTGTCTTATCACAAACCCCAGACCCAGGGGTTCTGTCCGCATGCTTGAGGATCTAGACAAGTTGGAGCAAAGCTGACTGAGAAAGGGGCCTGGTGGTGAAGGACACGTTTGCCGCACAGGATGGAGGCAAACTATATGGCGCCAAGTGCAGAGGAGCCAAGGGAGCAAACACAGGTGGAGGGTGGCCTGGGGGCCGGAGGCAACACCGCTCCTGGGGCCGCCCTTGTCTGCAGATGTGAATTTCATAGGAAACTGACGTAGAATTCCATGCCCAACCGTCTTCACGTTGTTCCACAAGGTCAGAGCACAATCTTTCTTTGGTTTAATTTTCGAGGGCAGATTATTAGGTTGCCGAGGAGAAAGGTCAACTTTTGAAACGTTCTCTAAGGAATGCTGCCAAGGACAAAGCAAGGAGCTCAGGCTGCCCCGAGGCCCGGCTGGGGCGGAGCCACAGTGCCCATGCGCCCACCTAGGGACACCTGGGATTGCCCCATCTGTATGCAGCCACCTGAACATCAGGGTCGGAGGACAGATAATAGCATCAAGTCAGGGTTTGGGGGCAACAAGAAATCAAAAACATTGAGAATCACAAAACATGGAGAATCAACCACGGAGGCCCAGCAGGCAGGAGAGGAGGAAGGATACGAACAGCACAGAAACCTTGGGAAGGATGAACCTCAAACCCAGATGTGGAGTGGGAAGGGCCAGACACAGAAGATCACACATATTATACTGAATGTTCACGAAAGCGAATCTATGGAGATAGCCAGGAGCTGGGTGAGAATGGAAGTAACTGTGGATGAGTGAGAGAGCTCACTGGTGGTGGATATATTCTGAAACTATGTTATGGAGATGGCTGCACAACTCTGAGGTTTTCTAAAAATCACTGAACCGTACATTTGAAATGGGCGAATTTTATGGCATGTAAGGTATACTACAACGAGGTTTTATTTAACGTCTGGGGAAACTGCATAGCAACGGGCAGGCCCCGGGTCTGCCTTTAGGGGTTTGTAAAGCAAAGGAGCCGTGTGCTAGGAGCAAAGCCACGAAAGACCCAGAAGTACAACAGGTGGTAGTCAAGACATGTGACAGTGACAGCAACACGGAGGGTGCTAAAAGATGCATGAATGTGCCCGCCGGTGTGGCTCAGTGGCTGAGCATTGATCTGTGAATCAGGAGGTCATGGTTCAATTCCCAATCAGGACACATACCCAGGTTTCAGGCTCAATCCCCATTGAGGGGTGTGCAGGAGGCAGCTGATGAATGATTCTCTCTCATCATTGATGTCTCTCTCTCTCTCTCTCTCTCTCTCTCTCTCTCTCTCTCTCTATTCTTCTCTGAAATATATATATTAGAGGCCCAGTGCATGAAATTTGTGCACTCAGGGCGGTGGGGAGTGGGAAGGTGGGGTGGGTGTCCCTCAGCCCGGCCTGCACCCTCTCCCAGTCCAGGAGCCCTCGGGGCCTAAGCCGTCAGTCAGACATCCTTAGTGCTGCCGCAGAGGCAGGAGAGGCTCCCACCACTGTCACTGTGCTTGTTATCCCTTAGCCCGGCTTCTGGCTGAGCAGCGCTCCCCCTGTGGGATGGGGCCGAAATCAGCTCTCCGACATCCCCCAAGGAGTCCCGGATTGTGAGAGGGTGCAGGCCAGGCCAAGAGACCCCACCGGTGCACAATCAGGGCTGGAGAGGGATGTGGGAGGTTGGCCAGCTGGGGAGTGACTGCGGGAGGGCTTCAGGGGGTGTCCAGCCTATCTCACTGAGTCCCGATTGGCCGGACCACAGCAGCAAGCTAACCTACCAGTCAGAGCACCTGATCACTGTGCTTGTTATCCCTTAGCCCGGCTTCTGGCTGAGCAGCGCTCCCCCTGTGGGTGGGGCCGAAATCAGCTCTCCGACATCCCCCAAGGAGTCCCGGATTGTGAGAGGGTGCAGGCCAGGCCAAGAGACCCCACCGGTGCACAATCAGGGCTGGAGAGGGATGTGGGAGGTTGGCCAGCTGGGGAGTGACTGCGGGAGGGCTTCAGGGGGTGTCCAGCCTATCTCACTGAGTCCCGATTGGCCGGACCACAGCAGCAAGCTAACCTACCAGTCAGAGCACCTGACCCTTGGTGGTCAGTGCAAGTCATAGCAAGCAGTTGAGCATTCTTAGCATATTACACTTTGGTTGGTTGAATGGCCAACCAGTTGACTAGACACTTAGCATATTAGGCTTTTATTATATAGAATATATATTTTAAATGTATATATATTTAAAAGATACATGGATGTGGGTGCTGAGTGAGGAACTAGCGAAGGTCACTGGTGGTGAGAAGTTCAAAGCACTGTGACCCCACAGCTGTCCACAGGCACTGCAGAAACCTCCGGGTGGGTGGAGACAGGGTGACAGTGATGGTGGAGAGGGTGGGTTGCATCATAGGCCACCATCCTAAATGATTGTGAGGAAATGGCCAGGGCTCCTGAGATGACAGGGGCAGGAATGGGGACACGGTGACTTGGCCTCATGTGTGGGTCTCAGTGCAGACTCAGGTTCCACAGCAGGGAGAGGAGTAATGGTTCTATATTGGTGGACGAACTGGAACTAGCTGAGGAATGCCAGCCAGCTGCACACGCAGTGCAAGCAATGCAGACACACACATGCATGCACGCACACACACATGCACATGCACGTACACACACATGCACCTCACTGATGGGCCACGTGAGGGAGGAGAACTGGCATCAGCAGTGCCCCCGTTGAGAACGAGTTTCCCCCCTCAGCACACATGTAGGGGTGGGCTTCCTGGGGTACATTACAGAGCAGGCACAGGGACAGGCTTCTCAGGAAGCGGAGCAATGGGCACAGAAGGAAAACAGAGAGAGCCAGGGACTGAGCAAAGGAGCAGGAAACGGGGGATGGTGGGGAGAGGATTGTGGAGAAAGAGAGTGCTTATGTGTGAAAGTGGTAACTGTGGTCCCAAGGTTCCAGCTGCTCAATGGGCCACATTTGGGTACCCCCACCAGGCAGGCGGGGTGCCCCTGGGGACCTGCTCGGGGACCTACCTTGCTGATGAGCTCCCCGATCATGCCGTTCCAGGAGGTGTTGTGGAGCTGGTGGCCATACCCGCCGTCAGGGGCCTGGTAGATCTCATACTTGAAGCCCAGGGCCTTGGCCAGCGCATCCAGGACGTCCACGGAGAAGCCTTTGTAGCGCTTGGGCTGCCCGAGGATGTTCTCGGCCACCATCACAAAAGGCTCCTCCTGAGGCCACAGAATGAGCAGTGTCAACACCTACCAGGCCAGCAGCCACGCGCCCAGGTGCCGAGACCAAGCTGGTGGCGGCCGCTGGAACGCTGCAGACAGTGCACGCCTTCACCCGGTGAGGCTGCAGCCTGAGACCTCTGCCCTTTCCGGGCTCTCGGTCATGCCGGAAGGCCCTGTGGCCGGCATGCCATGGGGTACAGCCTTACAACCTGGGTTACGTCATCCCGGCTCTGCCCAGACCCGTCTCCCAGGTCACACGGCTCCTTCCACTCCTTCACCTGTGACAGCCCGAGCTCTGCCCTTAGGAAATGCCATCATTCCTCGGGACCCAGCTAAGAGGCATGGATATTTCTCATCCAGGAGCTTAATGACAATGAAGTTCTGCGATGCTGGGCTGAGAGAAGCGTAGCATCTACCAGGCTGCACTAGGGAATGGATGCTGATTCACGGGCCATGAGCATATCATAAGTCAAAGGACAGGAGAGGATAGGACTGAATCCCACTCCCAAGCCACGCCCTGAGCACAGCCACGTGATCCTGCAGGGACGTGACGTCTGGCAAACGCCCGGGCGCTGCCACCCGCCCTGTGACCCTGAACAGGGGCAGCCTCTGGCGAACAGCCCCAGGGAACGTATCTCGTTAATGTAACGGTTTTTGAGGGCAAGGGATGTGCTTCTTGTCTGTGGTGTGCGTACAGAGAGCGCTGCTGGCGAGGGTGTGCCTGCCCGGACAGAGGGAAGTCTGCACCTGCCCGCCTGCTAACCAGAGCTCACCTAAGCTTCCTCCTGCAGTTCTCAACAGGTTAGAGGAGAAACTGAAAGGAAGATGTCCCTAAGGTCCCTGATGAGGTAATGTCTGTGATTCCGGGACAATTGTGCAGAAAAACTGCAACCAATAGTCTTCATTATGAAGCCTGTGTCACGTGGCCCGTCAGGGGTGCTGGGTGCCGGGAAACGTCCCCTCGCACCACTGCTCTGCACGCCTGGGAGGCAGAGGCTGTGCTCTTCCGTCCTCGCCACGTTGACTATGGCGCGAACGGTCCTATGGGAGCTCAGGCCACCACGGAAGATCCCGTCTCTCCAAACCCAGCCCGAAACCAGACACACCTCCGCCTCAGAAGCCAGAGGAGCCCGGCCCCCCGCCCCCCTCCTAGGGCCCAGGAGCCCAGGAGCCCAGGAGCCCAGGAGCCCAGGAGCCCAGGAGCCCAGGAGCCTACCAAGACAGTCACCACTTTGAGAGTCAGTCCCTGGAGGCGGCTGCCCATGGGCCTCTCCTGCAGGCTGCCGTTCAGGCCCTTCTCCGAGTCCCACGTCGCCAGCTGTGAAGGAAAGAGGGAGCGTGAGGGGCAGATGGCGCCTGTGCACAGCCTGCGGCTGCTGCCTACACCGGGACAAGGCACGGCAGGTGCACTGACCACGGGGCTCCTCAGAGACCCAGGGCCGCCCTCAGGGACAAGAGTGTCAGACAAGGCTGCCCCGAGGGCTTGCCTCGTTCTTTCAGTGAAACCCACGGTCAAAACCTGTTTCTGGAGTGAACGTCTATGCCGCTTCATTCTGTCCACTGGCTGCAGCCCTGTCACCGTGTCGCCCACAGAGTGTCCTCTCCCTTTAGTTACTCCTCTGACTCTCCCAGACCAGCGGGCCCTGGCGTTCGCATGGCCACCGCCAGCGGCGCAGGATGGCGCTTCGCAGAAGCAGGTGACGGGGTGTAGCTTGTCCCACCCGGGGCCTGCGGCAGGCCCAGCACGCATGCCTGCCTGCATGTGTGTAGGTCGTTTCCCGGGTGTGCACACGGAGGCCAGAATCCCGTGCCAGGCCTGCTGCGCCCGAGCCTACAGCGTCCTGACATGTTCCCGGCTGCTCTGGGGCCTGTCTGGGCTCAGAGACAAAAGGAAACAGCTGTTCTCAGAATGGCTTCCCCTTCCGGTACTCTCCATCCCATCAGTGATTCCCCACTGCTGGAGGCTAATTCCAGCAGGTCATAAATGCAAGAAGTTCATCAAGAGGTTGATGGAACCTTGAGGCTTCAGCAGGGCTGAAGATACATACTATTGCCTGCTGGAGTAGCCGAAAGCATTTCCCCAAACCTAAAGATTTGCATATATTTTTGCCTGCTACTGAGAGAGCGGAAGGCAGTTCCCCCTAACTGACAATGCCTACTGTATACCAAACCTTACCTTTTGATATGTATATCTGCTTTGCTTTAGGGCAGTTTGTGTTAATAAAGAGCCCTGGGTCCAGAGATTCAGAGAACGTGGTTACTGAAGCTAGGTCTCCTCTGGCTCCCCAAAATGCCTTCCAAATTTGTATTTCATGTCTAGTCTCTTTTTTAATTTACGCGCAGCCCCTTCTCCAGATTCCTGAACCCTCTAGATGCAGGGAAAGAAGCCTGGCACCTCACTGTTCATGTGTGAGGGTAAAAAATACAGATACAGCCCCATCTCCAGCCAGCTTGTCCAGATCAGCTCTTGGTCACATGGGAAGTGAAGGCTTCCCTGCAATCCTGAGTGACAGCCCCTGTTTTCCAGCCGCGAGGCCAGCGCTAACATGGGGCAGAGCAGAATCTCCTACAAGGGCTTCCAACCCTCCCCAAGCCCGGCCCGCCGGCAGGGCTCAGCTTCCTGGTCTGTGGTGAAGGAGATGTGGACGTTTTAGCTCCCAGGCGATTCTACTGTGTAGCCAAGATCATGAACCACAGTATGGACTAGCACAGCGATCCTCCAGCTATGACAGGCACACAGATCACCCCGCCTTCGCATGTGCTTTCGGATTCCCCGGCCCCGATTACTTCTGTCCAATGTGCTCCGGGTGCGGCTGCTGACCCATGGCCTCTATGTGAGTAGCAAGGGGTCCCAGGCAGCCTCTGCTTTTCATCAGGCCAAGAAGAGCCACCCCTCTAAGGAAAAGTGCCACCGGGGCCCTCACGGTGCCACCAGTAGTGTCGCCTAACGACACGTCTGCTCTCCCGGCACCTCCCTAGCCCTGACATCACAGCGGCTGCACGCGGGACCTTGCATCTGGGACCATTCCACCCGGAAGATGCTGCACCCAGAGGCCTAGGGCAGGCACAGCAGATGACGCACATGCTCCGGAACCAGCTAAAAGGAACCTGGAAACTCCTGCTGTCACTCAGGCCTGACCACGAAGGCCCACACTCCCGACTACAGGCTGCCCCGCTGTGAGGACGAGCTGCTCGGGCAAGAGCGGGGCTGCTCTGAGGAGCTCCCCACGCCACGGACTGATCTTAGGGGCACTGCAGGGAAGAGCAAAGGGAAGATCTACCCAATACTCCCTTTCAGGAACCCCAGAGACACCAAGCTCTGGGACTGGCACAGTGAGGAGAGCGCATGCTGTGTCTCCCCTGGGTCTCGGGAACGGCGCTGGGCCCGGAGCAATCCTGCAGCGGATTCAAACGCTGCTCAGAGGAAGAGCACACACTCAGCCTAAAGGGCCACGGTGCTGACCCAGCTTCTTACATGCCCGCGGGGCCCTGTGTGCACGCGGGCCGCCGCACCTGCTCTCCACAATGGCGCACAGGCCTTGGGGCCGCTGAACCCCAAGGCGCGGTCTGCTGCACCTCCTGGGCTGAGGGCTGGACCCCCGCAGTGACATCCTGGAGGCAATCTTGTCCTCGTGGTGATAGATCCATTCCAGGGAGGGGCACTCTGTCCGGCACCAGGACTGGCATTTCTAACACCTGCTGCTGAACCCCCTGGCCTGGGTGAAGGCACCTCTCCGACCCGTGATGCCTGGCGTGGGTGAGGGCCTGTGATGGGCTCTGCGTGACCTTGATCAGCCAGCTCCACCGGTGTCTCCACTGGGATTGCAATCAGCCGTGGAATGGAGAATGGGGCTGGGAGAAGCAGTGGGATGAAGTGAGATCCTCTGGGTTTGGGCTCAGCTCCACGGACTGCCCCTCGGGGCCTGTCCACGCCCCTGGGCCTCCAGCCACTGCCGGGCGCAGGGCACCGGAACTCTGTCCCGGCGATTGCACCGCCTCCCGTTGGTCTCATCACCCCAACACCCTCTCTCCCAGCCCCTCCCAGGTGGGGACAGGTACCTTTACAATAAACAAACTCAAACATGACTGCGCTAATTAAATTTTTCCAATGACTTCCCGTTTTCTACAGGATAAATCCTAACGCTTTTAAGCTTGGCCTAAAAGGAAGGCCTTCCTAATGCAGACCCAACCTTGACCCTCAGCTTCACTGCAGTTTTCACAGCCACATGCACCCCCGCCCCCGCCGCCACGCCCCTCGGATGTCCGGGCGCATCACGTTCCCTCCTGGCGCACTGCGTCCAGTCCCTTTGCCTGAAGTGCCTTTCTCTTCAGCCGAGTCCGGTAAACTCTTACTTATTTTTAAAGTTTTCACTTTAGAACGTGTTTGATTTACAGGGAAGTGGTGGGGGTGTCCAGACAGTGCACACAGCCCACCCCAGGTCCCCTGTCATGGTTACATGAGTGGGGTCCTTTCCCACAGCTCACAGCGCTCAGCCATCTTCCACCCAGCGAAGCTGCAGCGGAAATGACCCCGTGTCCTCCCTTCTGGCCCTCCTGCCGGCCAGCCCACAGTGCCCACAGCCCACGGTGCCCACGGCCCACAGTACCCGTGGCTCACGGTGCCCATGGTACACGGTGCCCACGACCCACGGTGCCCACGACCCACGGAGCCCACAGCCCACGGTGCCCACGGCCCACAGTACCCGTGGCTCACGGTGCCCATGGTACACGGTGCCCACAACCCACGGTGCCCACGACCCATGGAGCCCACAGCCCACGGTGCCCACGGCCCAAGGTGCCCACAGCCCACGGTACCCATGGCTCACGGTGCCCATGGTACACAGTGCCCATGACCCATGGTGCCCACGACCCACGGTGCCCACGGTGCCCATGGCCCACGGTGCCCATGACCCACAGTGCCCACAATGCCCACAGTGCCCATGGCCCACAGCCCCCATGGTGCCCACGGCCCACAGCCCATGGTGCCCATGGCGCCCACGGCCCACAGTGCCCGCAGCCCACGGCCACTCTGCCCAGAGTCAGACTGAGAGCCTACTGGTCTAGAGCCAGGTAGTGGCCCGTGCCCGGCGGTTCAGGGGAGCAGGCAGACTTTTCCGCAAAGAAGAGGGAGCACCACTGCATGTGGTGACTCCCATGTAGAACTCATGAGAGGAAAACATTCCTTCAAGCTGCCGTTAGTCTTTTTATTTTTTGGGTCTGAAAATACTTAAGGGTTAACATTTATTTTTTATTATTTCATTTTTTTAAAAAAATACAGATTTATCCCTCCCTGGCCTTCAGGCATTTGTACTCTAACAAAGAAAAAAAACAAAACTTCATAATGAAACCAAAATTCTGCTTCAAACACATCAGAGGGCACATGTTCCAGGATCCGGGCCCTTCCCGTGCGGCAGGACTGGATTATTCCCTCCTGTCAGCCCAAAGCCAGGACCCCCAGGCTGCGTGAGCCCCGACTTCCACAAAGCTCTGTGCTCTTGCCCAAATCTCACCACCGTGAGGCAAACCCTCATTTGTGAGCGAGGCCAGAAAAGGGGCAGACACAGCCCAGCACAGGCTCCAGTGGCATGCTCTAAAGTTAAGTCAAGTCTTTAAATGCAGTCCCAACCTCCAGCCAACCAGGAGTAGGAGAGACTGCAACCGCCTCCCCCGGGGGGCCTGGTTCTCCAGGGTCAACATGCCTGGGAAGAGTTTGGGTCAATAGAAGCCAAAGAGGCCGATGGGCTTGCTGAGCCGCGGGCTTCCCTTGTACTAGCGCGCCTGCCCCACCTCCTCTTGGATTTCACCGAGGGGATTTGGGGGATGGGGTCAATGAATGAATGGCCACAGACGCCCACTCCTGACACTGACCCGTCAAGATCAGCACGTGAAAAACTAATTTCCTGCCGTTAAAGCGAGGCCAGCCCTGCGTGACGACCCGGCAGCCCGGGCGCTGTCCCCAGGGCGTGGGCATGGACAGGGCCACAGCCCAGCGTGGGAGCGGGCAGAGGCTTCAAGTCTGATTCTGACGAACGACTGGTCACGGAATCAGCTAGTCGGAGAACAGCATTCATAAGCCCCTGGCCCTCGGCAAATATATTTTCCAAGTCACCAAGGTGCTCTCGGTTAGTGGTTGAGCTGGGAGCCATGCGGTTTGGGACTTTGTGGCCTCGTCCTTAATAAGCACAGACATTACCCCACCTGCGACAGGCCTCGGTGCGAGCCCAACTGTGGGTGCAACTTAATTACAGGGGTGTCCTCAAGTGCCCTGGCTTCCAGGGAAAAGGAGCCATGAGGCACCCCAACTGCCTGGGGCTGCGA